AACTATCCCATTTCCATTTATAGTATTATAATGATATTCATTGTTTTCGATCTTCAAAGTACATGTTAATTAACAACGCGAAGAAATTTAAGACAAAGAATTCTATTTTTACTAATCAATTCTTACTAAAAATTTATTGGTTTATTTATTTTTATGAATGAAATTTCTTAATTAATATTATACATAGAACTTTTACTCTTCCATGTGCATCAAACTATTCCACTGATTTTCTTATTGATTGTCTTGGAATGTTCATTCATCTATAAACAAGATTCTGGTCATATCATAAACAAGATCCTGGTCGCATCTATAAACAAGATTTTGGTCATGCGTACGATTATCATTGCAATGATACATCAAATCTTTGGGCGTTGCCAAATAGAGACTCAATTTTTAGAAATTAGAGATTGATACGACGAACGGTGTAATCATAGATTACAGGAAAAATATCATGGGATCAAATTCTTCAGCCCTATTTTGTGAAAAAATTTACACGTTTTCGCTTAATAATTCGCTTGATAATACTAATTTCTAGTTTAGTGTCTATTTTGTCCCGCGAAGGTTTTAAGAGTTTGTCAAATTTTATCGAGATGATAATCTGTGTAATGCGTTTATTACACGCAAAATGGTTAAAAAAAAAAAATCTCATTGTAATGCACAATGAAATTTACAATTTTATCTTTTAGAATTACAAAATTCTGTATTCCTTGATTCGATTCAGAATTAAATAAACTTCAAAAATATTTCGTTCCCACGTACAAACCTTTATCAAAAAAATTTGTAATAACTTGCTGAATTTAGAATAAACTTACGGAATTATTTCTCTAAATTCCGTGATTAACTCTCTTATAAATTGTAGTCACCCTCCGATCAGTAAAATTTTAAATCTCCTATTAAATTTTAATATAGCAATTCTGAAAATAATCTCAATCTTTTTTCTCGAATATGGCATACGTCGCAGAATATCCTCGTCCTCCTAAATACTCTTCTTATTCCTCTAACGATGTGAAATTAAAAGGAACTTATGGCAAAGCTTTTTTAAACAAAATCATTAGTCAAATTAAGGAAAGTGGCTTAAAGAAGAAGTTAAAAGCCAAACTTTCTAAATTTACTGATGATAAAACTCAATACTACGATGACCCACAAAATGATGACTTTTTTGATCAACCACCTCCTTATGACCAGAACTATAATAAAGACCATACACCAGTTACGGTTAAGGAAGAATCTAATTGGACTGCATCTTTTCCAATCAGAAATAATGC